GCAGCTTCAGCATGGTTTTTGGCATGAGAAAAGGTGAATTGGCCCTCACCTGTATTCCGGCGCAAGGGAAAGAACCCTGCACAAAGAATCGATATCTGATGAGCATTTCCATCCACGAAATAAAGTACCCACCGTGGAGTCAGGGCAGGGGTTTGCAGACATTGGCCATTTGAAGGTATAAAGCCATGCGAGGACGCATGTCAGCAAGTCCTGACCCTAATATGAGGATTCAAAGACAAATCAAACTGCCAAAAGTCTAGTATTTGCCAAACTGCTAGCCTGTCGGGAAAATCATTCGCTTTGCCCATGGGGTGAGGCTCTTCAGGGCGCACGAAATCAGGGACAGTGGACTGGTGTTCAGCACGGTATTTCTGGAGATCGAGCCAAAATTTGTAAAACCATTTCTGGGTCAGTCGAGGAAAGGCTTTCACAAACAAAGAGCGTCAGCCGCCCGGTCTGCAACAAAATTCCAAAGTCCATGATAACTGTCGAGGTCAGCAAGAGCTGACAAATCGGACGTCATGCCCCTGAATCTTCACAAGTCGATTGACAGCCCTGTTATTTCCGCAGTGGATGCACTGACACAAATCAAGGTATGGCAACTTATATGACTTATAGACTTATAGACTTATAGATGTCATCAGTATCATCAGTGAGTGCATTGCGAAAAGAGGCAATTGCACTGGCAGAGTCGGCAGGAATCACAGCCTTGCAAAACAGATCATTTGCATGAACAATGGCACCGGGTCCAGTACTAGCGATGGCCTCCAACCTACTAGCAATGGCCTCCAACCTACTTGGGGATGGCCTCCAACCTACTAGCGATGGCCTCCAACCTACTACTAGCGATGACCTCCAACCTACTACAAGCAATGGCCTCCAACCTACTACTAGTGATGGCCTCCAACCTACTACTAGCAATGACCTCCAACCTACTACTAGCAATGACCTCCAACCTACTACTAGCGATGGCCTCCAACCTACTAGCGATGGCCTCCGACCTACTAGCAATGGCCTCCAACCTACTAGCAATGGCCTCCGACCTACTAGCGATGGCCTCCAACCTACTACTAGCGATGGCCTCCGACCTACTACTAGCGATGGCCTCCAACCTACTACTAGCGATGGCCTCCAACCTACTACTAGCAATGGCCTCCAACCTACTACTAGCGATGGCCTCCAACCTACTACTAGCAATGGCCTCCGACCTACTAGCAATGGCCTCCAACATACTAGCAATGGCCTCCGACCTACTAGCAATGGCCTCCAACCTAGTAGCGGTGGCCTCCAACACGTGAGCACATGTTAATGGAAGACAGGCAAGGGGGCCTTCTTTAGGGGGCCCTTACCACCCTAAAAAAGGTGGTCTTGTTGAATACCGGTGCTTGTCAGGCCGACTTTAGGCAACTGTCAGCCGACCAAGATATTGGAGTCAGACTTCGGGTCATACAGGCAATCCTCTCAAAGGTTTTTAATGCTCTAAACGAAGGTGGGCAGTATGATCGCTCGAGCAGTTTTTTCCTGTTGTTTCATGGTCTGAAATGCACATGTGGAAAGACATGGAAAGACAGCTGCAGGACTGCATGGCGGTCCTCACGCCCAACACTGCTTTGGAACATGTTCTGAAGAGCTTGTTTGATGAAGAGAAAAAGGATGAGTTAGCCCCTTGGAACTTGGAACTGCAAAGATGCTTGCCTTTTTTCGCAGTATCTTGAGGTGTCAATAACTCGGACCACAGACAAGGGAACTCATTTTCCCAGAGCTCCTCAGGTCTACCACAAGGACCGCGGTGCGTAGAACGCCATGAGTTTTTTGGGGGGGGATTTGCCTTGCACGTCTCATCTTTGTCAGAAGCTGCCTGAGGCTACAGTCACATGTTGAAGTCGTGGCATTTTCTAGTGTTTGCCGTGCTTAGCTTCCAGGAAGTCCTGGAGTTGTTGTGTGTAGTTTCTCCCCATGTTTGGATGTTGCTGTTGCTGATGGCACTCCCTGCTTTGCTGCTGATGTCCTGATTTTGTTCACATATTTTGTTCACGTACCTCCTTCACTCTTGAACACATTCCATGCTGCTATTCAGGAGAACAATGATTTTCAAATATTTCTGACTTGATTTGCAACCAAGCTCTCAGTTTTGAGGTTCTTCATGTTTCTTCCAATGACTCAAAAATAAACATTGCCAAAGGACAGCGCTTCCGTTTGGAATCAGGAATTTGCTCGGACTATGTTGGACCCCCTCCTGGTGCAGCGTTTTCATCGGGCTTGAGAGGTTTTGGACAAAGACCCTGAGAAACAAGAGGGTCAAACATAAGATCAAAAATGGGGAGGCAAGAATGGACATGTGACAATTTCCATCCTTTGTTGTGGCTTGGTTGGAACCCCTTCATGATAGCCCACCAAGTCCAGTTTCTGGCACCCAGCGCGTAGAATACAACTGAGTTTCACACGACAGCCCCGTGAAAGCTGCGCATGTTGTGACATTATGAAATGTGACATCGGAGGCAATGCTGTGGAACCAATGATGATGCCCCATGACAACGTTGTTGTGAAAACGGGTACCTCAGTGTGAAATGTATCAAAATGTGAATTCTGCATTAACACCGCTGCAGAAATTATAAAACTACACGTAAAACACCAATGAGCCACTTATAGCAAGGTACCTACTGTAAAGACAAAAGACCTTAGTTTCTCATCCATCACATTCACAGGCTAGAGAAGCGAGTAGGTAGTCCACATTTTGCGTTGTGTGTTGGCAATAAGTGGAACCTGAATTAGCAGGAAGTTGCTTTTCAATCATGTTTTCATTTGGCCAGCCAAGTCCTTGAGGTCCAAGAAGCTCACTTTTTTGTGCTCGCAATGGTGGCCTCCAGCGCGGAGGTCCGGGACAGCAGTGTTCTTTGGGACCTCATACAGTCTTTGCCGACGCTGATTTCCTCAGCGCCCTCCAGCGCCAGCTTGGACTTTACCAAAAAGACTGCGATTGAGCTCTTGGGCAGCTTGACGCAACGTGACACGTGCTGACACCCACTGCAGCTCAGATGTGTTGATTTCACAGTTTTTCCCGTTTGCTGCGGATGCAGGTAATCTATGGCAATGGGTGAATTCCAGGAAAGACTTTTTAGGACTCGCATTGGTGATGATCTCGCAGCTGCTTGTTCCAGATCTGAGCAGCAGTCCAGCACATGAGCTAGATCGTGCCAGGCAAGTCCAGCAGGCCCGGATTTGATATCATTTGTGAGGAAAACCGTATACCAGATCAGATGCTTCTGAGCAGTTTCACAGCCCAATTTGCACATGATGGTGATGTCTTCACGACATTGCTAAACTTCTTTTTTGGCGTCCTTTCCTACTGAGGCAGCTTCCACAGCATTCAAACACATTTGTGTTGGGGGCAAGCTTCATTTGGAGGACTTGCTACCAGAGCTCTTGGATCTCTACGTTCTTTGGTACGAATTAGCATTTCTGAGAATGCAGGTTGCGGGGTTCTTCTTGTGCACATATTTAGGCTTAGTAACTGGCAATCAACTATTATATAGTAGTTGACTTGATGAAATACTATGAACTACGGATCTACTCTGGAAACTGACTTGGAGGCTCCTACACGCATTGTGCGCTTACAGTACCTGTATACACGGCCGAAAACGTATGTATGAGGGCTTGTGTGCCTACACTAGCCAAAATAGGAATGTGCACCGGCAAGCCAAACGGAGTGCACACATCTTGAACAGTGCTGCTGTGACTGGTGGGTTCGTGGCTCCATCCATCCCCGCACGAGACATGCTCCAGTTAGGCTACGATGCATAGAGTAGATTTTTTGCGGTCTATAGTCCTGCGGACAAAGCAAAACACGTGATTGCACTTCCAAGGGGGTGACTATGGCGTTGCCCATCCGGATGCACCTCTCGATCGTTGAGGGTGTCGGATCCGTCGCACCTGAGATTGCATTTGATATTTTACCGATGTCTGTGGCGGCTAGTGTGATACACGCCTCAACTTGTGACTCAAAACGCATTTGACAGCTATATAACGTATAATATAATGATTTCTCGCAGCCCCATGAACATTTTGAGCCAGGAGTCCTGAGTCGGTCTCGAGGGATACAGTTCCGAGCGTGTGTCTTCTTAGCTTGACTCGGCGATTCCCATCATTTGAGGTAGCAAGTCTCAACCAGGAGGACCAGCTTCGATCTGGACTGGAGCAGATGGTTGCACCCCTGGCCCAGGGCTTGGACTCTGCAAGGCAGAAGCCACATCTCCTTGGCGAGATCTTGGACAGGTGATGGTTTGGCCAAAAGTATTTCAAACTGTCGAAGGCTTTCTTGGATTCTCCATCATGGCTACTGCATTTTACGGTTGACTAAGTTTTGATAGCAACAATTTGCATCCCAACCTTTTGGGCTCTTACCATGCCCTGCCATCCTCGTCATCGTGTCTTGAGGCTCATCGTGATCATAAAGCAGCTCCACATGACCGAAAGTAATGCCAAAGCAACCTGCATTGGCGGCATCACTGCAAAGAAGCCGAAGCCGCCCTTTGTTTACCATCCCCTGCGCAATAAACTCTATAAAATCAGTATATAAGGTCGAGTCGAGCTGAGCTTTTAAAATTGCACCAGCATAGACCCAGATAGCTAGGCAGAATCCCACGACCTGTTGACATGCGATTGGCTGGAACAAGAATGTACGCAGCTTGCGCAGCCACCTTACGGCACCTCCACGGCGCGCACAATCAGCTGACACCAGCACCGGTGCACTTTGCCAACTGACAACACCGGCAGCGGCACCAGCACCCGACCAGCGCCGCCGCCCGTCTTAAACGCGCGCTCAGCCAGGACCACAACACCAGCACCAGCACCGACACCCTTTCGAAAGCGCGCGCAGCCAGCTCATTCTTATTTGCAGCAAGAACCCCATAGCTATCCCTATTTGGGGAATAACAACGTATGATTTTGCGCATATAAGTCTATTCGCACAAAAGTATGCGCGCAAACAGCAAAGCCCGTAAGTGTCATTGGCCCAAGGCCAAGCAGTATCCAGCGCCACTATTGACTTTGTAGCATGCTTGAAGCTACGATCTGCAGAACGATAAGGCCGTATGATCTTGCGCGTATAAGTTTATGCGCACAAAAGTATGCGCACAAACGGCAAAGCCCGTAGGCACTCCCGTAGGCTTCACTCGCCCAAGGCCAAGCAGCACCCACGACTATATATTGTGCGTTTGGCACGCTGGAACATGCTGACACAATGGTCGGTTGAGAGCCTGATGTTGTGCATAGAACATTATACGTACAAAAGTATGCGCGCAAACAGTACAGCCCTTGACACAGCTGTCGGCAGAAACAAAACCTGAAGAGTGTAAATACCCCACAGGGCCCCACAGCGCTAATAGACAAAGAACGCTCAAGCGACGACGCCGTATGATGTTGCGTGCATAAGTTCATGCGGCCCCTGAATGCTGGCACTTCATTGTCAGAAGCGGTGCTTGGTCGCCCTTCACTGCTGCAAGCGGCAGTTTGTTACCCTTCACTGTTAGAAGCGGCGGTTGTTATCACTTGACTGTCAGAAGCGGGCACCAAGCACCGGCACGCCAGCTCACGGCGCCCAGCACCAGCACCAGCCACACGCACTGCCAGCTCACACCACCGGCGCTGGCGCCGTGTCTCCACCACGCGCACAGCCAGCTCACAGCACCCAGCACCAGCACCACTGCAAGCACCAGCGCCCGGCACCGGCCCTGTCTCGAAAGCGCTCGCAGCCGGCTCATTGTCGTTTGAAATAATCCCGAGTACCTATTTAAATTAGCCCAGCTGGAGACCCCAATAGCAAGATACAAACCGGGACAAAAAGAAAAATCTGGAAACAGCTGCTGTTTTCAACACATCGACCATCTCTTCCTTGGACACCATCATCACATAACCGGGACACCATCACAAATGACCAGGGCACCATCAAAACATGACCGAGACACCGTCACAACATGACTGGGACACAATCAAAACATGATCGGGACACCATCACAACATGACCGCGCCACCATCACATGATCGGGACACCATCAAAACACCGGGACGCCGTCACAACACGACCGGGACACCATCAAAACATGACCGGGACACCATCACAACATGAC